CTGAACATCCCAAAGCTCTGTGGGTTTGGGATTGGATGTTGAACATCCCAAAGCTCTGTGGGTTTGGGATCGGATGCTGAACATCCTAAAGCTCTCTAGGTTGTCCTTGGACATCTCCCACCTTCACCTCTCCCATCAAACCTTTTCTTTTTCCCACTGGGAGTGAATCCCGTTCCGTGCCTCCTGTGCAGATCCTGGGCCTGGTGATCCTGTGCATTGGGATTTATGCCGAGGTGGAGAGGCAGAAGCACAAGACCCTGGAAGGGATTTTCCTGGCTCCAGCCGTGATCCTGCTTCTGCTGGGAGTCACCATGTTCGTGGTGTCCTTTGTGGGAATGGTGGGGAGTCTCCGGGACAACCGGACACTACTGAAGACGGTGAGACCCTTGGGGTGGGCTGGAGGGTCTCAGGGAGGAAAACTGGTGTATCCTGAATCATCACCATGACTCTGTGTGGTTTTAAAGCCCTTTCTGGATTTAAATCCTGCCTGGTGTTGCTTCTCCGTGTTCTCAGCTCAGCCATGAATTGGTGGAGAGGGAGTGGGGAGAGGATGGATTTAAGTTGTGTGTAAAATGCCCTCATTTCTTATTTCAGTTGTGTGTAAAACAGCCAATTTCCCTGTTTTCCATGGCTGAATCCTTCCCAACATGCTGGTCTTTCCTCCTGGGATGACAAGGGGATTATTCTGGGGGCTGAGATCCCACCTCTGGTGGAGCAAGATCTCCACTGTTGAGTTGATTTTACCTGTGATGATGCTGAGAGAAAACAGCTTTGTTTGCTTCCCCAAGGGAGTTGTAAGCAAAGGGAAAAATTACCTTGGAAGTCCAAATTGGAAGAGATCCAGGACTTTAGGGCAAAGCTGTTCGCTTCCAACTGCTTTCCAGGGCTTTGTTGGTGTGTTGAGCACCTTCCCTGCAGCTCCTCGAGGGGTGACACCTCTGCCTCCAGGCAGGGGGTTTAGAAGGGGAATTTTGGGAGGGGACAAAACTCCTATTATGTATGGGTTATTCCCCGTGGCAGGAATGAAGCTGTTGGAATCCACAGGGAGAAAATCCCAACCCACAGAGGCAGGATGAGGATTATTTCATTTCCTCAGCTGTGCCCACTGAAGATTTGATTTGTCCAGCAAGCTGTGAAACACAAACGAGCTCAGATTTCTGTCACCAGGGATAATTCCCACCCTCTGATGTGTCAGTTTTCCACTTCCAAAGCCACTCTGAGTTGTGGAATCAGGATTAACGGGGATTCAGGGCCATTAAGACAGAAAGAGAAGTGTTATCAGGAATTGGAAGTGCTTCTCCTGCCTTGGGATCAACCAAAAGGAGGAACATGACACTCAAGAGCTTGGACAGCAGGTAGACAAAAAAGCAAGTGAAATGTTCTCCACGCCAACATAAACCCAGCTTTGGAGGAAAAATGATTACTAAGTGTAGTGGGTTGATCCTGACCAGATGCCAGGTACCCACTACAGCCACTCTCTCATTCTCCCTCTGCAGCTGGACAGAGGAGAGAGAAAAACCAACAGTGAAGGACTCAGGAGTTGAGATAAGAGCTGGGAGAGGTCACTGACTGATCACCATCCTGGGCAAAACAGACTCAGAGTGGGGATATTAATTGGATTTATTACAAACAGGATCAGAGCAAAAGAGTGAGAAGTAAAATAATCCTAAAACCACCTTCCCCCCACCCCTCCTTCCTTCAAAACTCAACCTCCTCCCCCAGCAGTGCAGGAGATGGGAACGGGGGTCACGGGCAGTTGTTGTTTCTGCTGCTGCTCAGGGAGAGGAGTTGGAGTCTTCCCCTGCTGCCGTGGGGTCCATCCATGGGAGACAGTCCTGGATGGAGCTCTCCAGGGTGAGTCCATCCCATGGGAGACAGTCCTGGATGGAGCTCTCCAGGGTGAGTCCATCCCATGGAGACAGTCCTGGCTGGAGCTCTCCAGGGTGAGTCCATCCCACAGAGACAGTCCTGGATGGAGCTCTCCAGGGTGAGTCCATCCCATGGAAACAGTCCTGGCTGGAGCTCTCCAGGGTGAGTCCATCCCATGGAGACAGTCCTGGATGGAGCTCTCCAGGGTGAGTCCATCCCATGGAAACAGTCCTGGATGGAGCTCTCCAGGGTGAGTCCATCCCATGGGAGACAGTCCTGGATGGAGCTCTCCAGGGTGAGTCCATCCATGGGAGACAGTCCTGGATGGAGCTCTCCAGGGTGAGTCCATCCATGGGAGACAGTCCTGGATGGAGCTCTCCAGGGTGAGTCCATCCATG